AAAGCTAGATTTGTGGTTAAAGATTTCACAAAAGAAAAAGATGTGAATTATAATGAATTTTTCTCACCTGTAGCGAAGTATGCTACAATTTTTGTGGTATTTGTCTTGGCCACGATATTTAGTTTTGTTATGGATAAGATGGATGTGGTTGCAGCCTTTCTCTATGTATATTTAGAGTATGAGATCTACATGAGAAAATATGTTGGCTTTGATTTAAAAAACAAAGAAATGTTGGTTTATAGATTGTTGAAATCATTGTATGGACTCAAGCAAGCTCCTAGGCAGTGGAACACGCAATTTGATGAGTTCATGAAAGCACAAGGTTTTTTACGGAGCATGTATGATTCTTGTGTCTACATGAAGAATGTGAATGATGAAACGTTCAATCTCATCAGTCTATTATTCTACGTTAACGACATGCTTATTTTGGCAAAAATCCAATCCAATGTTGATGAATGTAAGAGTAAGTTGAAGTTTGCATTTAAGATGAAGGATAATAGAGGAATCGAAGAGAATACTTGACATATATATATATATATATATATATATATAAGGATCTTAAACAGAAGATGCTATGATTGAGTTAGGACAAATATGTTTGTCGTATAGTTGACATGTCAACATGGCCGATTCTCAAGGAGTATGGACTCTTTTGGCATCACATTTCAAACTCTTTACAGTTTAATGTTCTACCGATATTGTAAAGAAAGGAAGAATGTCATGTGCTCTTTATGAGCAAGTTGTAGGCAACCTCATGTATTTGATGGCGTGCACTAGGCTGGATATTGTCTTTTGCAATAGGCAAGGTGAGCAGGTACATGTAGAATCCTATGAAAGTTCATTGGGAAGTTGTAAATGAATTATGAGATATTTGAAGAGTATTTTGGATTATGGCTTAATGTTTGATGGTTTATTGGATAGTTTATTAGACAATGTCAAATCTTTGTTTGGTTATGTTGATGATGATCACGAACAATATCTAGATAAAAGTAGATCCACAACTAAATATATGTTTACACTTGGCAGTGGAAGCATTAGTTGGAGGTCTATCTGGCAAAAATGCGTAACTAAGTCAACAACAGAAGTTGAGTATGTGGCAGCAGCAGAAGCGGCAAAAGAAGCTATTTGGTTAGATAGACTTATCATGGAAATGAGAGTGAAGTAGAGCGTGGTTAATCTTCATTGTGATAGCCAGAGTGCTTTACATTTGGCTGCAAACCAGGTCATGGATAGTAGAGTGAAGCACATCGACATCATGTACCACTTTATCATACAAATAATGTCTAATAAAACGATTGAGCTAATCAAGATCGACAGTAAATTCAATCCAACTTATGTTTCGAACAAAATTATTCATTTAGAGAGTTTCAGGCGATATTATATTTCCATGCAAGTTGTGCATGAAAAGCATATGTAGAATTTGCTAACATACTAACTTTAATTATCTTTTTATATATGTACCTAATCATGTGATTGCTAAGGTTTAGTCCTAATTAACCTATATTATTACTCCGCGGGAAGTTCTAGAAAGAAATTCCTGCGGAGTAATTATATAGATTACAAGATTTTTTATACCTCTATGCTAGCAGGTTTTCTAGTTATACCTTTATGTTATTACTCTATCATGTTATGATTATAATTTAGTTCTAGTTTACTCTTGTGTAAAGAGTTATCTTGTGTTAGATTTTTGTCTAGAACTTTCCGATGACTAATATAGATTATAAAAGTTATTGTTTTCTCAACACGAATTAAGGGGAAGATTTTTGAGGTTAACTCAGAGTAAGGATTAACCTCATGTTCTAGCTATCTATAGTTAGGTTTGTCGCTGGTGTTGGGTCTATATATAACCCAAAGTTTCTACTCTGCAAACGTTGTATTCAGTTGTAAGTAAACTCTCTCGCGTATTTCAACTGTGGACGCATCCCTTGAGGATGAACCACGTTATACGACGTATCTCTCGTGTTCGTGCTTGTCTTGAATGTTTCACTAAGATAATTGATTTAAAGTTTATGAAATACAATATTCAATAACCATAGCTTTTTATGTCCATATGTATTACTTCATTTTGGGATTGATCTCAAAAAAATCAATGACTAGACAAGGTGATTATAAATTATTTGGAATGTGATTACTTTTATGATGATAGAGGTGTTAGTAACCATTTTTCTTAGCGCATGCAATATCTTAGTCTACACATATCCATTATACTACACACTCTGTTAGTCCTTGATATGGAGACAAAGACAATCTTGATTGATGATGCTTGCATGTTCTATAAATTATGTTATCAATTAGTATGAACATCGTATCATTTCTTCTACACCCTACTTCATGGAGCACTAGATGTCAAATGATGTGCGAAAAAAGTTTTGCTCATGGAACTGTTTTCTAGAAATACGAGAGCAAGTGAGCTGTGAAAGAAGGTACCAGGGATCATATCGGTGGAGTCGGCGTCTTCTGCGTTCGGCTTCTTTTCTTCATTCGTTGAAGAAGTTTTTCTCCTATCGAACAAAAAACTTGCAGGTGTGTCAAACCCGAACTGAAAGTCCAAGGGCTTGCTACTTTCCTCTGAGGTTATTGAGGAAGTGTCCAGGTCTGAACTAAAACGAGCGCCTGTCAAAAGATCGACCCTCTGGAACGGACCGAATCCCGGTGGGCGAATCTATGTGCAAGACAAAGATAGCAAACTTTGACAAAGACTCATAATGTCCCCCTTTCATGCGTAGTTCTCTGACCTTCTCTCTAAGGAAAAATCTAGACGTTGACTGCTTCAAGAGTGTGGGTGGAGTCGAGTCTTACGGGATCGTGATCGCCGTGATCAAATGGAGACCGACCGATCGAGAGGCGAGGACCCTTGTGATCGCTGATTGTTGAAAGTCTTCAGCTGTCATGTCAATTCATGACAAGAAGAGAACGACAATCAGTAATACAATCCATGTGCCGTGTCTTTTCTTTTTCTCTAACTGTTTGACCGGACATGCTATTTCGGACCAGACTCGAAACACAAGTTCGGATCAGAACTTCCATCTCAGCTATATGGACTCGATTTCCACATGGGGCTAGATATCAGCTGGAGAGGTGACATCTGCCGCACTTAATGTGATACCATGTGCCCTCAAACCTCATGCGGAATTTGTTCGTACACATGTCTTCATTCATTCCTTCATCCATCTTTCATGAAATGTAATCGGGCAAGGGGCCTTCACGCACCGGAACGTAAGTTGAAATGAAGATGAAGACAACTCCAGCTGAAGACATTGTGTCAGAAATTTGACTGATGTAGCCGATGAGGATAAAGTGAACATCCTTCATAGAAAGCTTGGACATAATCAGGATCCTGAGGGTAGGTCCTGCTCGACAGCTATCATCTCTCTGTGTACTACCACCTCACCGAATTATCGCTTGCAGCCGAAGTTAAAGATAACAGCTTAAGAAGGAGAACATAGGACACAAGTTACAGCAACATAGCTTGCGTGCAGAATAAACCAGTTGGGCCATGAAGTCCCATAGGCATCGTAAACGTACTTAAAGAGCAAACTTGCCACAAAATACTGTCAATCCCTTGGTTCATACTCGAGAACAAACTTGTGCCACAATCAGAGACGGATGCCAGATATGGACAAACAGCTTGCAACCCATTATAAGACTCTTGTTGTTTTCTGTCCCCATTTGCCTGGAAAGTTGAGTTTAGACGTAAAGTCTTAAGCTCCCGTGTTGGCATGGTACAGAGATTAGGCATGTGGATTGAGAAGTGAACTTCCACCAGTAGTCCATGTCTCAAACCCTTCACAATCAAGCTGCAAGCTGTGAGATAAAGAAAAATACCACAATTAACGATGCAGACAGACAGACATGCGAGAGCAATAGCTAGATCGAAACGATGCAAATGCGAGACCCTACTTTCCATAACGTCTGAGAAACAAACCTTGCAACGTACTGACGTTGCAAGGTACACGTACGATGTGAGCTGAAACTGAATCCGATTCAAACCAGGAGTAAAAGGTAGGAGAACCAACAGTTGGATGGGCAAAATTGACAGTGGATCTTCAAAATATCTACGTGCCATCAGAGGACAACAATCTCGTCCACTTGCATTTGGGTTCTCCCCGCTCAGTCTTGCGTGCCATACCATACCACAATGATTTTCTCATTCCTTTATCGGCTGAGTTTAAGTTGAGCTGATTGTAATGCTTTCATTAGGCTTCTTGGTTGCAAAATTGTTAGTTAAGTCTTTTTGTTTCATAAGTCGCTTTTTTTACTTCGCTTTATTTCGTACGCTTTTTCGGATACATGCCTTTTGCAGAACCCATCAAGCTTTTCCGTTGACAAACTAAGGTACTCTAGTGCGCAGCATCCGTCTTGGTGATAGTGGACGGGTTCGGGATCCCGAACTCGTCCGTCCAACATGTCGTTGCGTGCCATGTCTTCTCCGTAGACTGTGGTCTGGTCTCTCCTTCTCTCTCTCTCTCTCTCTCTCTCTCTCCAAGTTATGACGATATTGACGAATCTGCGTGCGCTTCTTTGTGGGCGAACATCGAACCATATGTTGAGAAGTTTATGCGTACTAGGTTAGATAATCATCCTTAAAGGATGATTATCTGCTCACCTTCTGTAAAAGTTCAGACCAAAATCCTGAGTAACTTCAGGACTTGCCTTGTGTATGTCATCCTCAAAAGTTCGGCACGAGATGCCGAGGAATGTTCAGGATGGAGACGTGAGTAGAAGATATGTTTGCACGTCTCAACACACCGGCACAAAATAGAATCAGTTCATGCCTGCAGAGAAAGTGCATGACACGGAGCAGATTAACTTTATACAACCTGCAATCGCTCTTCAGATTTTGAAGGCGCTGAACTGAGCAGATATCAGTATTTCTCCATTGGAAAGGTCACAGAAGACCGGCAACAAGTAATGACATTCCTATCGGATGGAATGCAGCCAACATTCAGCGCACGTGATGCATAACCTCCACACACTCGTGCAACCGACCACAAACGCTGGATATACTCTAGGGTTTAAAGGTCTAATTTACATACGGGTTTTATTAAACAAGTCAATTGACTGAAGGAACGGTCTGAGATAGACAGGCTTCGAATATACACAAGTCTCGTGCTGCAAATTCAATTGACTGTACAATGTCAGGAGTTGTTGCAATCTACCTGCACATACCAGCACTCCACTAGTCCGGCGTTGGGAGGTAAGTGTCGCAGTTTTGGTGCGCTACAGATTGAACTAGCAACTACATTCATATCAGATTTTCCAGATAGTTCCTTTTGACTACTTAGTATGGCAGCAAAGGTCCCACTAACCTTGCAAGTCGCAGCATTCGGCTTATGACATACTGCGGCCATTGGTCATTGTAGCAGTATAACAAGTACTTCTTTGGCTTCATAGGGCAGTATCTGCGAATCTACAGATTACTGCTTCAGAAGCTTTCATTGAAGCCTTGGAACATACAACTAATTTGCAATGTGTAGATAACTTCGTTGTAAAACAGCGGAGCTGCTGTATATCACATGTTTGAAGTTTCCAGCACTAGCAATGATGTACAGGGACGAGGCTGAAAGAATGATACACAGTTCTTAAAAATTGTACGAAAAGCTGTGAAGTTGGGTGTTGTTGACGTCAGAGTCCATGAACTAGCAGTAAATTCCTGGTGTGAAATGGGATTGAATGTATCCCAAGGAATCAAAACCCTGCGTGCTCTGCTTCCGCTGTCTAAACCTTGCAGCAGACATCCACGTCTTCAATATTGAAGTTGGCTTCAGTCCGTCGCACTCATGGGTACATTCCACTCCTTTCATAGACTTTTCGTCCAATCTCCACACTCTAAACTGGACGTCCTTGTCCTCCGAATGCTGCAGTCCTATCAGAAGCAACTGCCCTGCACAGGTCAGGAGGTGAGAGCTTCTAACATCGTACACGGTCCTGGGGCTTGAACCCTCCACCAGCATGTCGACCGTGCTCCATGCCCTCTTTGTGAGATCGAAGACAGACACCCGACCCAGATGATTTACATACAGTTTGTTCTTCAGCACAGCCGTGGTGGTGTAGAGTGCAGGACTCCTCAAAGTGAACGAAAATTCATTCACTGGAAGACTCTCGCATTGCTCCCAACTGCCAGTTTCTGAGCTGTAGATCTCCACAGCTGCGATATCCTTGCGATTCTCTGCCAGCGCTCCACCTGCAACGATGATCTTGTAGTGCAAGGATCCAGCTGCTCTCACCAATCCAACCAGAGGATTGTGCCTTGCGTACCGCATGCTCGGAGTTTCCCTCCACTCTGGCGCGAGAGGTTGGAGCTTGTAGCTAAGCTTCGATTGGTTACGACCGGTCAAGGCGTACACAATACCTCCTGCTCCAATTAAGGACACTATACTGGCCCCGTCCACAGTCCTGCAGTCGGGAAATCTGCCGCCATAGTCTTCAGCAATGTTAAAACCTCGAGCGACGGGCGAAACCACGAACCTCCTCGCATTTACGAAGAGCCACGCCTCTTCCGCGAGATTAAATTTGCGAGCAAGAGGTGAGATCATGAGCCTTCTGGCGTCCACAAAGAGCCAAGCTTCTTGAGGCACGAAGTGCTTGAGAAAGGCTGGAGAGCGGACAATCGAATGCCACAGCTTGCAGACGCAGGCAGCCCGCGCAACGTCGGCCGACGGCAGTCGACTCAGGATGAGCTCCAGAACATCAGTGTGCAAGGTTTTGCCCTCCTCACTCTTCCTCGCCTTGCGCGTGACCTCGATAGGACACCATCCCGACGAATTTCCCATGTTCCGCAATGACAGAAGCTTCACCGTCGACAACAAACGAAAACCCCACTCCTGACGATCCCGACAGGACCTCGATCAATCTTGGACAATCAGAGCAACGACCAAGAACATGGGTGAAGAAAAACTGTGCACGCAGCGTCTATATTTGTGCCAGCACTTGCCGGCACGGGCCGACGACGACAATCCGGGACCTCCCTCTTGCCCACACGTGGATTCTAAATATGCCTCAAGTCCGCTGCCTACTTACAGAGCAGCAGCAGCGGCAGCAGCAGAGTCCAATTGTGGCAAACTCACCGAGCGGCGGACACAAGGCTTGCACACACTAACGGATTCCCACACCTATTGCACAGCGGGCGCTCTGCACTCGTCGCGAAGTTAGGCTCCATGCGTGCTCCACAGGTCCATCGACTAGAATTGACTGCCGAAGTTGCCGCACACCGAAGCGGTTCCCCACCATCTGGCATCGCGCGTCATTTGGGAACACTCCCGGGATGTGATCGCTCTTGCCTCCATGTTGGATTGCGGACGGTAATATACCCGGATCCGCCAATCCAACCAGAGCGACAAAGAATCTGAAAGGCGGGCGGTGTTGGCCAGACTGTCGATCAGGCGCCAGCGGCACACGAACAATTCGTGGATATTGCGACTGTGCCAACGATTCGGCCGCGCGAGCGCGTCCAGATGGCTCGACGAGCGAGCGAGCAGACTCTCCTCTGGCCAACTTGCCAGCCGAGCTTTTAAACCAGCCCCCGCCTCGCCCGCGACGCAAGACAGTGTAGCGCTAAATTGCCGAGCCTGCGGAGAATCCCGGCCTTGTCTCCGGCACAAGCAAGTTCGCGCTCTCTCCCTCTCTCTCTCTCTCTCTCTCTCTCTCGCAGTGTCGTGCGCTCGAGGACGTTATCGACTTGCCAGGGAAGCAAGCGGACCGTGCGCTCTCTCCGGCACAAAGCCCGAACTGCACATCACCTCTCGCGTCCCTGTCCCGCAAGTGGCCGCGGATTCTGCTCCGCCTGAGTTCCGATCGAGAGCAAGCGAGGCAGCGACGGAACGGCGTTCTGCTTCGTCCACATGCGCAAGTTGAGTTGCCTCTTGTTGCGGGAGCCTCCGCTCCCTTCCCGGGACAGAGCCTCTGCTCCCGACGAGCTCCCCGTTTTGGTCTCGTCGAGCTCCCACCCTTCCCACCCTTCCACCCCGTTCGCCTGACGGGTCCAACCGAAAGGGCTCTACACTCCTGTCGCCGCCGTCCTCACCCAATTCCCTACTTGGTTACGTACGGTGCATGTTCTTTTGCCTCCTTCCGACGAGTATTACCTCTCCGTTGTCGTTGTCAGGTTCAGGCCTTCCTTTTTTTTCTTTTATCTATTTCTTATTTCTTTTAAAATAAATTATTTTTTATTTTATTTACTACTATTATTAGTCCTCTCTGGCCCCGGCCGGTGTCGGGTTCCGGATGTAGTTCGTGCAACCGCAGCCGCCCGACTTTTCTTCTCGCCGGGGACTAGGTGGTATCGGGTCCTCCCGGTGTTGATCTCGGTGGTTTTCTCGTCGAAGGTGGATTCTTTCCTCCCTCCGTCTCTGGTTTCGAGACGGGGAGGCGGGACAGGGGCCTTAATGACGTTGGGGAAAGTAAAGGCTCCCAGCGGCTCCGTTGTTGTTGTCCGAGAAAAAGCAAATCCCAGGATACTGGATTCGGTGCACTGTTTGGGAGTACCCGCCACTACGCACCCTCTTCAGTTACTTGGCCGCACCGGTCCAGTGAAGTGAACTGGGCGTCGTCCTCGTCCTCGTCCCTCATCGCTCCCGCCTTGATCATGATGATGATGATGATGATCATCATCATCCTTCTTCTTCTGCTGGACCACTACAAGGACACAGCAACGATGTCTTTCCAACCAGCCATGCTACCGTAGGCCCGCCTACCACGTGAGGAATATATATTATTTACTAAATTCGCACGTGGAGATAAACCCCCACAGTGCACAACTTGGGCTCGCCCTGCTCCTCCCTCCTTCCCTCTCTCCCTCTCTCGCTCCCTCATCGCTGCTGGCGGACTGCTCATCTTCTTCTTCTTCTCGTCGCTCGTTCACCTTTCGGTAACTCATCTCATGCCCCGCTCCCGATCTTGCCACTTTCCGTGCCTCTGATGGAAAAAGACCTGCACGCCAGTCCGCACACCAGCCAGCCACTCGCATGTGGTTCCTAGGTTAGAAAAGGCGACTTAGAGCTCCACCTCAGCCCCCGCTGCCCTACACTTCGCCCCCGCCCCCCGTGTAAGCTGTCCACGCAGTAGTCGGATTTCGAAATGCAGGCCTCAGACGGCGAGCGCTCCTCTCTCGCTGCGACGGCGACGGGGAGCACGGCAGCCAGCCCTTTGACATTGTGCGCCGTGGACGAAGAAAATCCGCCACATCCAAACAAGACGTCCCCTCGCGCCACACCCTCCCCCCCCACCCCCCACCCGCCTACTCCCGCAGGACAGAGGTGTAGAGCGCTGCCGTTGGACTGCACATCATGACAACGGACATTCATATGGAGCCCCCCACCCCCCCGCCCCCATCTCTCAGGACAAGACCACATGCTCGAGGCACGAGAGGCGGAAGAAGAAGACGGACAGCGCGGAGATAGATCTGTCCTCCCGATGGCGCCTCCAGCGCTTTCCATGTGTAGAGTAAGTAGAGTAGGGTAGGGTAGGGAAGGGTAGGGAAGGACTATGGTAGAGGTTCTCAGAACGCTCGTCCGTGGTTCGAAATCTCGCCAAATCGTTTCACCGGAGGGCCGCTTTTCTACATGCCCCATGCTCATGATCTGGGCAATCATCGGGCCCCAGTGGCGGCAAGGCCGAATCATGTCTCCGATTGCGCATGCGACGATGCTGGAGCCCACAGTTGGAGCCCAATCGATAACCCGCCGACGCGGAGGACATCATTGTGTCCGGTTCTGGGCCAATGATATCCGCGACTCATTGCGCTGGAGGACGCCTGCCACGTCCTCAGCTGCGACGCCGTTCTGCCATCAATTCCGAGAGGTCCGTGGCCCCTACTGCCTACGTCCTCTCCTCGCGAGCTCGTCGTACGGTCCCTCCTATAGGCCGGGCCTGGGGATTAAGTGGGGAATCATCTGAGCTGAGCCTTTTTCCCGTCCTACTCAATCCAATCGAAGCAGCAGATTCCACGTGGTCATTCCGAGAACTCAAGGATAATCTTCTTCTCCCTCTTGTTCTTCTTTACCTTCAATAATACTGCGAGCTGGAATGTGTGCATTTGTCAAATTTCCATTTTTGGTGTCCGCCTGGACGTGTACTTCGTGATAAGTTTCCTCTTCCGTACACGGTTCATATTCGGTGATGGTGATGTGTCTCTATAACCCTTGGAAAGTCCCAAGGGAAGGTATTTCCCTTCGGACTTTCTTGCCCGAAGCTGAGTTCCTGGAATCGGTGGGGCAATCTTGCTCCTGTATTCGACGTCAACTGTCTTGGCATTTTTTGTATATATTATTTGCTGTTATTCTGATTCCACTTCAAGCGTCTCGATGGGGACTATGAGGGGACGACACAAACTCACCCACTCCTAACCAGAGTCATGAACAAAGTCATTCGACAACGTTTCAGAACCTGCGTTTCGATTTTGGCTGTTTCTGAAATCCGCACATGTGTCTCACTCGTGTCCACGAAGACTTACCTGCTTCCGAACTGTCACATATGTGTCTCGCTGGTCTCCACAATACTTGCCAAACTTACATATATGTGTAAATACTTACTTCTAAATAAAATAGTTTTTTAATGATTCATGTTTGATAAATGTGTGCCAAGTAAAGCAATTGATTCATATGTTTTACATTTGAAGTGACCTGCCGCGTCATCTTGTATAAGCCGTTGTGATTCTATTGAATCAGGCGCAGTCGACTCGTTTGGACTCGTCCTGCACGAATTTTCATAGTAAGGTTATCTCATGAACTATATAGAATGTAATCGGTAATATGGACTTCACTGATGTGATGTATGGATATTTTGATTTGATGAGCTAAATTTTATCATGCAAACCCTGTTCATATATTGAGTTATTGAATATTAAAAAAACAGGGATCAACGAAAGTAAGATGTGAGACTATGTTTTATGGACTATAAATTCATTTCATTTGTAAATAATATTATTTCGATAAAATAATTATCACCATCGAACATCATCAGATAGTGATATATAGATATTTTTTTAGATGTAACATAAATTAAAAATTTAGTAATTTTATACATTTTTCAAAAAATAACATACATTTTAGTATCTATATTTCTTTTTTAATGGATGATTGCAAGCATCTCAAGTTCATTATACAAGATGAACAGATTTAATATTGAACTTATGATTGTTTGTACTTATCAATACTATTTTTGAACTTTAAATTGTGCTTGCCGATTACACAACGCTCCTTCATCAGTGTTTTATGATGAGAGTTGATAATCTGTCATCTTGTTGTTTCAAACTTTTGTGTCCAATTTTAAGATTCGAAAGTATTTAATTCATATGCAATTTTCATCATTTATCACTTATTACTATAAATTTAATCATTATATAAATTAAGTTGGATTTGGTTAAATTGAAATAAAGAGATTTGAAAATAAATTATCAAGATTATTATGATTATCTTAGTCGTGTTTTAAGTTTGAACCTTTGAAATCAGAATCATATGTACATACTTTTCACACAAGCTTTTTGTAATTTATGACAAGATTGAAAGAATCTTTCTATTTAATAAATTAATATGTTTTTCTGAAAAAGTTAACCCTCTTTCTCCGCAATGATGTCTAAAGATGTGCCTTTCACTTGAAAAGATGAGAGCTAAATCTCGGGATAAGAATGTTAATATGCTCTGCCTGTATTCCTCACGTCTCGTGTTAGGTCTTGAACTTCTAGATATCATTTTGACCAGATTGTGGGATTTTTTTTCAAAATTGGTTATGGATCTTCTGATTGGCAATACTTGCCTTGATTAGATCAATATATCTACTTCTCTACAACTCTCAAACATAATGTTATGAGTATACATGTCCTTTAATAGATGTATATATGACTTTTTTAATTGGAAGTCTAAAGAAAGTTTTTCAGAATGTCCTGTTATGAAGTCTATGGCAGGAGATAGCTCACATGAATAAATGTTGATATGGATGTATCTAATTTCAAGTAGGATTACCATATGCTTTGGTTGAAAGGATGTGTAAGCAAGACCGCATACCATAGTTACATATGGAAGACGTAATTTAGAATAGTGGAGCTACAAGTATCAAAGTCTCGAAATATAATATTATGCATAGAAATATCTATAAAGGTAATCTTGGATCTAATTTTTGCTCTAATACACAATATTACATATAACCGTTTCAATTTGTTTTTGAGAGTATGAAACGGATTCTTATCATAAAAGCCATGAATTATTATTCTCTTTGATTTATTGAGTATTCTATTTTAAGCAATATTTATTCATACTTTATGGAAAGTAGTAGTGGGTGAAATTCATAAGAGAGCTTACATTGATATCACTTCGTACCCTACTCTAGCATATAGATATTTGACCTAGATGATAGGGACATATTAGTTGATCTCTGACTTATTTAGCACTGCCTTGTTACTCGGGTCTCGCCCCATGTTATCGACATGGATCTTCTTCTTGTTACTTTACTTTGTTTCGTTATTCCATGGTGTTTGTCATTGTTCTAATTTTGTCCCACATCTCAATCTTTCTTCTTTAACAAAAACTCACGTGTTCATAAGAGTATAAGCACCTCTTGCTTTTCAGTCTCGTCCACCAGACTGCGGGATTCCTATCTATTGCAGTGATTTTCACGCTTCTTTCGATTGAAAAGCTTTACAGGTTCATCTTTCGACTTCCCGCCGCGGAACTGGTGTGAACATGTGAACATTCGGACAACGAAGATGGCAGGACAATTTCCATAAATACTTCCTCATAACTACCCTTGTCGACAAGGAATATCCCGGGGACGGGGGAAATTAGTGGGATTCTCAGGCATGCCGGCCCAAAAATATAGTCCCCGCTTTTACCAGTCACCAAAACCTGACGAATCTTCTGTCTTTTGCATGATCCTCAAGTACAGGACAAACCTGATCGG